GGTTTCACATATCTGTTCACCATGGTTGACAGGACCACCCGCTGGCCCGAGGTTGTGCCTTTGACGTCAATGGCATCTGTCGAGATGACACGGGCATTTATTAGCACCTGGGTTGCCCGTTTCGGCACTCCTTCGGACATTTCCTCTGACCGAGGCGCGCAGTTCACGTCTGAGCTGTGGGACGCTGTCGCACAGAGCCTCGGAGTGAAACTCCACCGCACGACCGCATATCACCCGCAGGCTAACGGACTCTGTGAACGTTTTCATAGGTCAATGAAGGCTGCCCTGCGTGCCAGCCTCAAAGACAGCAACTGGGTCGACAAGCTCCCATGGGTGTTGCTGGGCATCAGGACTGCGCCAAAGGAGGACCTTCAGTCCTCATCCGCGGAGCTTGTTTATGGACAGCCACTGCGGGTACCGGGGGAGTTTGTCCCTAGTGCCACGGTTCCCTGGTCTGCTACTTTCCAGCGGTCTACTCTACTGGACAATGCAAGGCTTTTCGCACCTGTCCCTACTTCACGTCACGGCCTCCCTCAGTCACACATCCCCTCTGGACTTCAGACGGCTGACTACGTTTTCATTCGCCACGATGCTCACAGGGGACCGCTACGTCCGCCCTATGAGGGCCCATTCCGGGTCCTGGAGACGGGGGACAAACATTTTGTGGTGGACAGAGGCGGCAAACCGGAGCGACTTTCTATCGACCGCCTCAAACCGGCTCATTTGGACGTAGCCAGGCCCATCAACCTGGCCCAGCCCCCACGCCGCGGACGGCCTCCTGCTCTGCCTCCACCCCTTGCTCCTAAACCTCCTACACTCCATGCCCCACACCCGGGTCTTGACGGGACACCGGCTGCAGTGAGGTTTCCTCAACCTCCAGTACAGCGCAGCCGTTGTGGTCGGTTGATACGCCCACCTCCCCGTTGACAGTTTGGTTCTTCGGATACAGTGAATTCTGGGGGGACGTGTGTAGTGACTGTGACATACATAATTCACCTTTGGGTTAAATGTAGTTCTATACATTGTTGGTGATAAATGCAGTACTTTGTTCTTAGCGTTTTTTCCTCATAACTGTTCAGGGATCGTGGTCCCTTTAAATGTTCTGTATGGGTGATGACGTAGGACGCTTGTCAGCGCCATTGGTTGGCTGTTAGTTTTGTCATACGAAATAAACGACACACGTATTTGTGTGCTCAAAGTGAGAAGTTGTCTCTTGCTAGTTACTGCAATTTCCACAGTATATTATATAAATCAAAATGAAAAACAATTACACAACATTAGGAGGAACAAAACTTACATGATTGAACTGGAAACAATGTTTCTCAATCAGGACTCCAATAAGTGTTGCAGGAGGTGCTTGAATAAAACCATGCTTCCCTCTTCCAAACAACTGACTTCTTCTATACTCCCATCCTTTTAAATACCAGAGGTTCTAACGCTCATGAGCCCCCCTAGTGGTGAGTATGATATCACAGTAACAGCTAATACTGTTACACAACAATGTAGAGATTGCAGCATCTTTTTTTAATATTTGATGAGTAGATTCTTTGAAAAACCGCCATTGAACTGTGCCTGATTGGCGAAGCAGTCAATCAGTGAAATGTGCAGAACAGATAGTTTGGATCCTTCCACCTCAACGTTATAGTGTTTAAAAGAGCTAATCTTTGAGAGTATAAAAGTCAGTATAGGCCAGCCTATATAGTAATGAATCAACACCGAACTTACTTCAACTGGACAATAACACTATTTTCTTAGAGCTGCTGTACAGCCAAAACAAACTGTGTTGCATTATTTTCCTGTTATCACTGTAAAGCTGCTTTGAAACAATCTCTATTGAAAAAGTGCTATATAAATAAAGGTGATTTTACAATGTTTTATTTTAGTTTTTTTTACAAAATGTAAAGATACAGTAGCAATATTACATTTTTACAACTACAAAAAGTTTAATATTTACAAATCTGTAGCAAAAGTAGTTAAAATGCCGTTGTGTTGCAGTCGCAGCGGTCAGTTAGAAGTGCAAATGCGAGTAATAAATGCAAAAAATTAAGCTTGAAGTGGAAACAGTCTGAAAACAGGTAAAAGCCAGGAATGACACTCAACGATCAGTCTTCTTATATGGGACTTTCAACCACTCCATAGTTGTTTCATCTCCCACCTTGCTGGTGCCAGTCCAGATCCCATATTTAAGGACAGAAAAAGAGGGAGATAGAAGAAACACACACAACGCTTCCTCAAAGTGAAGTGTATTTTCCCCAAAACAGTAGAGTCAAAGAAAGACTTTCAATTCACAATTCAAAGTATGAACAATATTCTTCTTATTATTCATCATTCTTGGTAAAGAATTATTTTATTTTAATCACTTACTAAAATCACTCCATATAGCAGTGGTTCCTGGAGTAAGTCATGAGAATATTTAGGAGCTCCATACACACACAGAATGATAATTTAGGTCTTGACGCCCAATTTCAATTTGTTGACTAAATCGGATTTTTTGACGACCTTACATCTTTTAAAAGGATCCCATATCCGATATATGCATTTACACAATACACTTGGCGAAACAACCCAAGGTAGACATGCTGAATGGGAATGTAATACTGCTTTTTATTACCAATATTTTGTTGTGATATTGACCACCTCGTACTTGCTTTTTAATAGATTGTGTTGGCCATAATGGAAATGATCCGGCTGCGTCTGTGTTCTTTAATTTGTGTGTCGTCAGTAGATCATAAGCTCAGAATTGGCGCTCACTCCCATTGGCACTTTTTATGTGGAAATGGGCTCTCACACTAATTTGTCCTGTTTAGTAAATCTGGCCCTTGAGTGGAATATATGCTATTAAAGTGTTTACATGCCTGTTTATTGCATTTAAAATCAGCACACACAAAAAATATATTGCCACAGTTATGGTTACTACAATTATGAGCTTAATAGTATCACTTTGATCAAAGCATTGTGTTTGCATGAGGTAAAGTTTAATAACAGTTTTGCTTTATATTCGCATTATGAAGGTGCGTGTAAATGTAGTCATTGTTTCTTCGCAAAAACTAACTTTACGTGAAAACCTGATCCAATATCCAACATTGTCACTAAATGTGGCAAAAAACGAAAGAGCTGGTGGTGGACTTCAGGAAGAAGAAGAGAGCGGAACTGACTCCTTTGATGATTCAGGGGAATGCTGTGGAAAGGGTGAGCAGTTTTAAATTTCTTGGGATCAACATCACCAATAATCTCACCTGGGACCTACACAAGTGTTTACCGGGCCTCGACCAGTATTTTCAGTCTTACAAGCCACAGGAACTGCGAAGCATTTTTATAAAAACGCTTGCGCTCTTTTAGAGAAGAGTGTTGCGGCGGCAAACACACACAGCTTAGAGCAGTGAAAAAGGATACTTTGTCGCCGGATAGCGTGGCAGGGAAGCGTAGCTGAAGGCGGCAAAGACGACCGGCTTCTTCAGGTGCTTTCCTCTGCTTGCTAATCGCTTGTTTCCACGGCGGCGGCTTCTCTCAGGATTCAGGATGCATAGAGTTTCGCTGAAGAGATGAAAAATCAGGGGAGCAGCCCTCGAGCCCTTCCTTATATACGCTAAGCTACGCCCATTCTGGCGGGCTCTGACGCGTGAGGGCGCTAGACAGCCGCTCTAGGTCTGCTTGGTGCTGCACTGCGTTGACAATAAATACAAAAATTAAGGATAATTTTTTGGCTTCATATCTCGAGAAAAGATGACTTTACCCGTAGCATAAGCAATTTACGCAATACGAGAGAACCTCTCATAAGAAAACTTAAAATTACCATATATATTCTACAGGTCTGTATGTTCTGTACAGTTCTTCATGTTGTCATTAGATTGTTTTTTTCATCCACTTTTTTATCAAAATTTGGGATATTGCATAAAAACCAAACAAAAATAGCCATTTTCAAGTTTTAATGTTATTTAATAATAGTCTTGTACATATATCTAAGTCTTACTCGTCAGATGACTGCGATCTTTACAGTTTGCTCATTCTGGACTTTTTCATTAAGACTTTACTGAAAAGCTGACTTTTGACTATCTGTAAGGTTAATTTTCTCTAAGATACCTGAAATACCTAGGCTCATCGTTGCATTAATGAAAATGTCTTCAATGTCAATCAAAAAATGTGAATCACTAAATCAATTAAGCCAAATGGGAAGAAAAATCACAACTGGAAAACAAATGTTACTAATACATTGACAATGATATTGTGTAAAATGCCTATTTCTGTTCATCTCAAGACCTTTGTTAATGGTTTCATTCATGAATAACAGAAACAAAGATATGTTGGTTTATAAATGTTTTATTCATTTACTGCCATTAATGCCACAATACATAACACGTTTTCAGAAAGCTTTAACTGCAGTTAAACCGGCTCGTTGGTTCTTTCTGAGTCAGACGTGGGCTGTGCGCCAACTCTGCCTGCAGATTGTTTTGTTAATTTCGATTCTTTGGTTTTATAACCGGTTTGGATGGGAAATGCGGAGCAGTAGGCAGTATATCCTGTATGTCCCTTACTGGCTAACGTATTTCATGATGGCACCTGAATATGGAGCATCTTCCACCGTTTATGCATGTGTAAATGTACAATTTTTCCTACAGGAATACTTGGAATTGATGGTGGTGGTAAATATTCATGAAAAAGGACACGTTTGTGAACGGGCAACACAGATTTTTATAATGAACTAAAAACGTTACAAACTGGACCTTTAAAATTGTGCCTGCTACAGTACCTTTTAGGAGTCATAAGAATAATGAGGGTGAGTTATAAGGATGAATGATGATGTGTGAATATTCATTTAAATGCTACATGTTAACATACGGTGGGTTTTAGCCTAATAATAGGCCCAAAGTGTAGTATTTTGGTTTGATTTGGTCCTGATTTATATGTAATGTTATTGCTCAACATGTTATTGAGTCACGTTTGATGAGGACGCAACATTGCATTTGAAAAAGCTGGATCTGAAGATGAATTCAAACATTTTATCATGATTTCAGACATTTGTTTTTTGTATGATAGAGTAGAGAAGCTGAATGAGTGAAACTCTTGCCACATGGAGAGCAGTGATACGGTTTCTCTCCGGTGTGATTCCGCTCATGTGATTTCAGAGATGATAACTGACTGAATCTCTTCTCACAGTTTGAACACTTATAAGGTTTTTCTCCAGTGTGGATCCTATCATGTGATTTCAGAGATGATAACTGACTGAATCTCTTCTCACAGTTTGAACACTTATAAGGTTTTTCTCCAGTGTGGATCCTATCATGTGTTTTCAGAGTTGATAACTGAGTGAATCTCGTTACAGTGTGAACACTCATAAGGTTCCCTTTCGAGAGGTTCCTCCTATTGCGTAAGCTTACGCTATGGGAAAACTCCTTTTCTCGAGAAATATTGAAGTCTTTATGTAAAACGCATTGCAGCTGCACAGCATACAGCAATGAGCGAGGCAGCTCGGTCATTGGCTGTGCTGCGGCAACTTGCACGAACCAATGACGGGGCGACTCTGAACCCGCTTCCAATGAGCGTGCTTCGCGCCCACGCGCGTCAGAGCCCGCCGAGATGGGCGTGGCCAAGGGCTATATAATGGGCGCCCCGTCGTCTGAGTTCTTCAGATTTAATCTCCTTCAGCAAAGAACCTTCTCTTCGCTGGATCCTCCGGATTTGTTGGAGTCTTTTCGCCGCCGCCGTCGACAAGCCTACAGCAGGACTGCTTCGAGGACGCCGGCGCCTTCAGCCGCCTTCGATCGCCCTTCTGCTAAGCCATCCGGCGCGCACCATCTATATCCTTTTTCAAAGCTATCAGTGTTCGCCCCCGCGACACTTTTTCTAAAAGAGTCAAATTTCTCAAGGCGTTGTTTCAAATGCCTTCCTGCGCCTCGTGTCGAGGCCCTCTTCAGGACGGGGATCGTCACATCATCTGCGCCCGCTGCTTGGGACCGGACCACGCAGAGGCTGCCCTTACTCGAGGCGGATGTCCCGAGTGTGACGCCCTGGGCCTCACCGAGCTGCGCGCTCGCTTCGCCGTTTTCACCGCGAAAGAGCCCACCTCTTCCGTGCTGCCATCTCCTCTAGTCGAGCCGCGAAAGAAAAAACGCCGCTCACAGAGGCCGCCGGAGCACGCGGTTTGCAGTGATGTCACGCCGGGCCAATCCCCGCGTGCTTCACCACCACCCGAAGACTCCCCGCCGCCAGTCCAGTTCACACAGGCGGACCAGCACCCCTCCAGCGGAGCGATGGGGCTCGTCTCGTTTGGCGCGTCAGGGGATGACGATGATAAGGATGACAGTTTTTCCTGTGATGCTGCATCCGACGATTGGCCGGGCTCGTCCTTCGACCCCGCGCCATCGACATTAGCGGGCACGAGCGCGGGCTCCAGCATGGACTCTGAGATCGTCCGCATTCTCTCTAAGGCCGTGGAAGACCTCGGGCTCGATTGGTCTTCCCCGGAAGAACCCGCCCGCAGCCGACTGGACGAGTGGTTCCTGCAGGGGCGCCGACAGGCCCCTCGACAAAGACCCTCCCCCTTCTTCACGGAAGTTCACGACGAACTCACGAAGTCGTGGAAAGCCCCGCACTCCGCTCGCCTGAAGCCTTCTTTTTCTTTGTCGCTCTCCTCTGTGGACGGCGCAAAAGAAAGAGGTTATGAGGGGACTCCGCCCCTCGAGGAAGCTGTGGCCAATCATCTGTGTCCACCCTCCAACGCTGGATGGAAAGCTAAAGCTTCTCATCCCTCGAAGCCTTGCCGATCTACTTCAGCTCTCGCCGGTCGCGCATACGCCGCCGCCGGCCAAGCTGCATCAGCGCTTCACTCTATGGCTGTCCTCCAGGTATTTCAAGCCAAACTTCTCCGCAGTATGGACGAGTCTGGACCCGATCCTGAGGCATTTAAGGACCTACGCAGCGCCACTGACATAGCGCTGCGAGCTACAAAAGCCACCGCCCAATCCATCGGCCGTGCTATGGCTAACCTGACTGTCCTTGAGCGCCATCTGTGGCTGACGCTAACAGAAATGAAGGATGCAGATAAGGCGTCATTTCTCGACGCGCCTATCTCCCAAAGCGGCCTGTTTGGACCAGCGGTGAAGGAGTTCGCCGAGCGCTTCACCGAAGCCCGTAAGGACTCACAGGCTATGCGTCACTTCCTGCCCAAGCGATCTAGCTCATCGCAGAGCCGCCAACGGCCGCCTCAGCAGCAGCGAGCTAAGACGGCGCCCCCCGTTTCTCAGCCCAAACCTGAAACGGATTTTCGACGCCGCTCGCGCTCCGCCAACAGGAAACAGCCGCCCGAGCGACGGGGACCTCGGCCCAGGATTGTGCTGAACCCAGAGCCTCGTAAGTCCTCCTAGCTACAGGGAGAAAAAGGGAGAGCGCGTGTCTCGCAAGAGCCGGACCGTTCTCTCCAAAACGTTTAAAGCATTACCCAGTCCCCTTACAGGCGGCTGGAAATGTCTATACAGCAGCCAATGTGCCAGCCACACAGCTCGCCCACCTGCAAACAAACGCCGTTTTTACGGCGACACACAGAAATCAGATAAAGAGCTATTTTCTGCCTGTGTCATTAAAGGGTCACGTGTCCACACCAAGGTGCGCATTCCCACGTATCATAACTGTAAACTCAGTGCCAAATGTTTTCCCAGCTCAGGCTGGACGCCCCATAAATGTAGATTGTGTGCCAACTGTTACGTATGCACCACTACACACAAGCACTGTTCCCACAGTTATAAACACTTCCCCAGTAAAAGCGGGAAGTTGTATAAGAGTAGCGCGTGTGCCCGCTGTTATGCACGCACCCCATCTCACAAACACTGTTTATATGGCCAAAAACCTCCCGCCACGAGCGGGAAGTTTTATGAAAGTGGCGCGCGTGCCTACCACAGTCTATGCACCCCCACCCATAAGCACTATACACACAGTGTTAAACATTTCCCCATCTCACTCTGTGAGTGTTACAGCGAGCGTGCCTGTAATCTCACACGCACCCCTGCACTCGGCATTCAACAAAGCTGCTCAGCGCGCGCCCGCGCCGCTGACAGCTGTGAGCTCGGTATTTACACAGAACGATTCGCTGGCGGGAGCCATACGTCACTGCGACACGCCCCCGGCCAGCATTCAGCCCATATCTGTGCGAGCGAAAGCTTGGGAAAATATCCCCGACATGCCGAAATGGGTTTTGAACATAATAAAACACGGTTACTCGCTCCAATTCGCTCGCAGACCGCCCCGCTTCACAGCAGTGGTAGAGACGAAAGTGAGAAAAGATGTTTCACATGTTCTACGCACCGAGATGCTCAAACTGATAGAGAAAGGCGCTATAGAAACAGTGCCCCCCTCTATGAGCGAGGCAGGTTTTTACAGCCGCTATTTTCTCGTCCCGAAAAAGGATGGCGGTCTCCGCCCCATCCTAGATCTCAGACATCTGAACAAAGCTTTAATGATTCGCTCGTTCAGAATGTTAACAACCAAGCATATCCTCGCGCAAGTTCGCCCGGAGGATTGGTTTCTGTCAGTGGATCTGAAAGACGCTTACTTTCACATTCCAATAGCGCCTCATCACAGGCCATTTCTGAGATTCGCTTTCGAGGGACAGTCATACCAGTACACAGTACTACCATTCGGCCTGTCACTGGCACCCCGTACATTTACGAAATGTATGGATGCAGCACTTTCCCCCCTGAGACAGCGGGGAGTGCGAATACTGAATTATCTCGACGATTGGCTAATCCTAGCACAATCAGAGAGCCAGTTAGTGACACACAGGTCTTGGATTATCAGTCATCTAGAGTGCCTGGGTCTAAAAATCAATTTTGCAAAGAGCATGCTATCCCCCAGCCAGAATATTTCTTTTCTGGGAATAGTGCTAGACTCAATGCAGATGACGGCGCGCCTCTCATCAGAGCGCGCGCTCACTATCCGGCGCCTTGCAACATCGTTCAGAGCGGGTGCGCGCGCCCCCGTCAAGCGATTTCAGAGGATGCTCGGTCTCATGGCCTCAGCATCAGCTGTACTCCAGCTAGGATTGTTGCACATGCGTCCTCTCCAACGCTGGCTCAAAAGCCGTGTCCCCACTCACGCGTGGCGCTCAGGCCACTTTTTAATCAGAGCAAATCACGGCTGCATAAAAGCCCTGACGCCCTGGAAAGCTGTCGACTGGTATCAGTCCGGTGTGGGTTTGGGCGTGAACACAAGGAGAAAAATGATCACGACAGATGCCTCCAAAATAGGCTGGGGGGCCCTTTACGAGGGCAGGCCTGTCTCCGGCTTGTGGTCAAACCCGGAGAAGCGCCTACATATAAACTGTCTGGAATTGAAAGCGGTCGCTTTGGCTCTCAGAGCCCTGCTCCCGTACCTGAAGGACGAGCACGTTCTAGTCCGAACGGACAACATGACGGTAGTCTCGCACATAAATCGTCAGGGTGGACTCAGATCGAGCTCCCTGCACTCGATGGCCAGGGAGCTCCTCCTATGGTCCCAGCGCAACCTGCGCTCACTGAGAGCAGCGCATGTGCCAGGCGTTCTGAACCAGGGAGCGGACATGCTGTCCAGAGACAAAGTTCTCCCAGGAGAATGGTCTCTCCACCCCCTGACGATTCAGTGGTTATGGCAAACCTTTGGCAGAGCAGAGGTCGACCTCTTTGCCTCCAAGGAAAATGCGCACTGCCCTCTCTTCTTTTCAAAGAGCACAGACGCGCTCGCCCAAGTCTGGCCGAGCCGCCCGCTGTATGCCTTCCCTCCGGTCGCGATGCTACCTCAGGTCATCAGTCGGATCAGGGAGGAGAAATGTGCAGTGCTCCTGGTAGCCCCACTCTGGAAGAACCAGACGTGGTTTCCAGAACTGATGCAGATGATGCAATCTGCCCCATGGCCGATTCCACTGAGGCTAGATCTCCTCAGGCAGGCCAACGGGATGATCCTCCATCCCCGCCCCGATCTGTGGGCCCTCCATGCGTGGCCCCTCAACGGATTCCCGGGAACCTCCCCAGTGGAGTGTTGAGAACCATCACTGAGGCGCGAGCGCCCTCTACGAGGCGCTTATATCCCCAGAAATGGAAGGTGTTCAGTGACTGGTGTAAACCCAGGAACCTGAACCCTGAGACATGTGAAGTACCGAGTGTGCTCGTTTTCTTACAAGAGCTGTTGGAGGCAGGCCGCACCCCCTCCACGCTCAAAGTATATGTGGCTGCCATAGCGGCATCACATGAACCGGTCGAAGGACGCACACTAGGGAAAAACTACCTAGTTGTTCGTTTCCTGAGGGGCGCCAGGAGGATGAATCCCCCACGCCCCCCCTCGGTGCCGATTTGGGACCTGGCCACGGTCCTGGACGCACTTAAGCGTGCCCCGTTCGAACCCCTCCGAACTGTGCACCTTAAACAGCTCTCGCTCAAAACTGCTCTCTTGCTGGCTCTCGCCTCGGTCAAGAGAGTGGGCGATCTGCACGCGCTGTCTTCAAGCGCTAACTGCCTGGAGTTTGGACCTAACGACAGCAGGGTTGTCCTCAGGCCAAAACACGGGTATATTCCTAAGGTGCTCTCTACTCCTTTCAGGGCACAGGTGATATCTTTGGCCGCGCTATCGTCCCCAGCAGACGAAAGTGACGCTAATTTACTCTGCCCGGTCAGGGCACTCAGAGTATATTTGGAACGCTCTGCCCTGTTCAGACAGACAGAGCAGTTGTTCGTATGCTTTGGCGGCCGCACTAAAGGTCTGGCTGTGTCAAAGCAAAGAATATCGCGCTGGATAGTTGATGCTATAGCGCTGGCTTATGAAGCCAAGGGCCTTCAGTGCCCCTTGGGCATCAGAGCTCACTCTACGAGAGGCATGGCCTCCTCGTGGGCGTGGTCGAGTGGGATACCCATTCAAGATATTTGTGCGGCTGCAGGCTGGGCCTCACCGTCCACATTTATCAGGTTTTATAACCTACAGGTCCCCTCATTGCATTCTAACATACTGTCGGTCTAACCATCATAGGCTGGGGTGTGTACATGCTGAGCATTGTCTCCTCCCTCATTGAATCACATCTTGAAACTGATGTGGAGGATTTTTCATACATGATAGTACATGAAAATGTGCTTGTGTGTGTCTCTGGACGCCCTTCGGGCCGTTCCACGTTGTCCTTTATAAAACCCGCCTTCGGCTGGCTCGTTGGATAATTACTTTGCTCAAAGGCTCAGGCTCCGGCCTCCGGCTTAATAGAAGCGAAGTCAGCACGCACGGCGTTTTACATGGCGTTCCCATAGCGTAAGCTTACGCAATAGGAGGAACCTCTCGAAAGGGAACGACTCGGTTACTAACGTAACCTCGGTTCCCTGAGAGGAGGGAACGAGTATTGCGTAATCTGCCGTGCTTGTGCTTGGTCAGTTTGCTTCAGTCGAATTGAACCTAAAGAACTCAGACGACGGGGCGCCCAATATATAGCCCTTGGCCACGCCCATCTCGGCGGGCTCTGACGCGCGTGGGCGCGAAGCACGCTCATTGGAAGCGGGTTCAGAGTCGCCCCGTCATTGGTTCGTGCAAGTTGCCGCAGCACAGCCAATGACCGAGCTGCCTCGCTCATTGCTGTATGCTGTGCAGCTGCAATGTGTTTTACATAAAGACTTCAATATTTCTCGAGAAAAGGAGTTTTCCCATAGCGTAAGCTTACGCAATACTCGTTCCCTCCTCTCAGGGAACCGAGGTTACGTTAGTAACCGAGTCGTTTTTCTCCAGTGTGGATCCGCTCATGTTGTTTCAGAGAAGTTAACTGAGTGAATCTCTTGTCACAGTGTGAACACTTATAAGGTTTTTCTCTAGTGTGAATTTTCTGGTGCAGTTTCAGTTCAACATTTGTAATAAAGGTCTTTCCACAATCAAAGCACATATAATTCTTCACACCAATGTGTATTTTCTGGTGTACATTTAAATGACTCAGATGACTAAAACTCTTTCCACACAAAGAACACATGTAAGGCTTCTCCTTTGTATGAACTCTCAGGTGGCACTTCAGGCCATCTGTCCTAAGAAAGGTTTTACCACACTGATCACAGTTATATGGTCTTTCTCCTGAATGAGAACGCAGATGTGTTTTAAAAGCGCTTGCTTGTCTGAAACTCTTCCCACACTGATCACATGTGAAAGGTTTCTCTCCGGTGTGAATTCTCATGTGAAGTTTAAAACGTTTGTTAACTTTTTTTAGTCTAGGGGGAGGGTCACCCAACTTTTGTATTCATGAAAACAGCTAAATTTCAAAGTGGCTTGTTTGATGCATATTTTTGCCATGTAGCTCTCTCGGTCTCGGCCCCCCATCGCTATCAGATGGGTCTGACCCAACAAAAATCCAGTTTGGCACTGTTTGACAGTGCGCGCGGCGCGCACTTCAGTACGCGCTCAGAAAAAGTGCATTACAGAACGCCAATGAAATGTTTACCCGGCAAAGCTTTAAAGCACGAGTTTTACAGTATTGGGACTGAGGCGCCAGAACTGCAGCACGATACTACCATATTTAGTTTCCATTCTTATTGTGTTTCCACAACAATGTTAGTGAGTAAATCTACTGAAATTGCCACCATAACAGTGGAGTGTGATGTGTTAGACGTAGGGCTACCACATTTGTAAATTACTATTAGTATTATTTGAAGTTAACATAATAAAATACGTAGGCCTGGACCTACACTAAAAAAAACTAGTTGAGGATAAATTCTTTAAAATTGGGCAATTCCAACGTTATGGACGTGACATTTGCAGTCAAAACTTGAAATATAAATTATCAGAAAATGCATTTAATACTGAAACATCTGTTTATATTCATACTCCCTTAATAAAGGAGTCCAGACATTAGAAAAATATCAGTCAAAATATCAGTCTACACATTTATACACGTTTTATATTTAATATGAGGGAAATACACATGTGATGTGATGTGACAAAAAATCCTTAACTTTTAGGTGGCAAAATATTTTTTAGTAATTCTATGAACTACGCTGCGCAAAACAAAAGTAATACTACCCACCGGATGAAGAAGGGTCGGCCTCTACATAACATAAAATATTCTTTTTATTTTATTTTTAGTGTTCGCATTTATGAGGGGGGGAAAAATGTTACGGACGTGACAGTTCTCCGTTACGGTCCGGACATGACGGCTCTGAAAGCGACTTTAAAACTTTCACAGAGACCTCAAACAGAAAGCACAAGCCTTTCTTTAAAGTGAATTTCGTTTTTTATTAATTGTATCTTAATTTTAATCAATGTTTCATCAACCAATTGCCTGGATTTAATAAATAAGAAGTAAATATAGTAGAAAATAGATCGTTATGACACGGAGGCACCGGCGCGTGAACTGGACTCTCGTCTAATAAATCAACCGAAACTCAGCGTATAGCCTAAGGTGAGAAAGCTTGAAATTTCAACTTTTTAACAGAACAATTCAAAACGAAAGAAAACAGACTACAGACTGCTCTCTGCTTATGTAATCCGTATGAAATGTGCATTTCTCTCTGGCGCGTTCACTACTGCGAAGATCGCGAGTCAGCATCGTCACCTTTATATTTGCAGCCGACAATGACAAAGACTTGTTTATTAATAAATAGGGCTGTCACTTTACGTTCGAAAATCGATTGCACAATCGATCGGACCAACCAACACAAGATTCGAAAATGAAAATAGGGAATCGATTTAAAAGCTCTTTTTTTTTTTTTTTTTTTACCAAAAAGATTATTTTAGGTGGACAGATCAATACAATACACAGAACATGTAGGATGTTGGAAAATAACAATGTCTTTTCTGTTAACCAAATGCTTTTTAATATTCGCTATTACTTCAATGCAAGTGAACAAGCGCACCGTTGTTTGTTGCTTAGTGACGCGGGTGTTCAAGTAAGCCAGAAATGCGCAGATTCTGCGCAATATACTGTATTTAATATATCATGATGACTCACGAGTAAAATATTTGCGCTAAATCCGCGCAGATTTGGCTACACGAACTTCCCCAGCAATGCGAGTAAATAGAAACACGCCAAATTGGCTCGTGATTTGACAGCGTTACCCACCAAAGTTCATTTTTACCCGCATTTGGCGGGTTGGAGGGTGTTAATTTCAATCCCTGAATGCTGCACTCCTGTTTGTCATTGTGCATGAAACTTCACGCCAATAAATCATCGGAAATATTGCTGACTTGTGCGTCTCAAGCGCCCTCTTTACGTTCGTCCGCCTGTTAGTTGTTCGTGGATTTGCCTATATTTGGTTGGAAAATGGAAACGTCTTTAGACATGTGAAATCGATTTTACAATCGATTCAATGAACACTTATGTCTCAAAAATCGAACAGGATTTTTTCACAAAAGTGACAGCCCTATTAATAAACAATTAAAATGTCTCCTTGCTATATTTGACATATTCATAATCATTACTTTTGCCGGTTCTTTGTGGCAGCTTTAAGATACTTTATTGGCATCGCCACCCTTACATGTTAGGCTACATGAACGCGTCACCACTGCATCAGCACCGAAAACATGATTTTTTTTTTTTTATCAAAAATCGTGATACGAACCGAATTTTGGTCTATCGTTACAGCCCTAGTAAGATGAGAAAGCAGGAGTTTAGTCGTTTGTCATGGTTGTAAAAAAAACAATGGCTATCTAAACATCTTTGCCAAGCGCAAACCAGTACAGAAGTAATCAATAAATTATCGGGGAGGGTCATGCCTTTTTTCACAATCATTTTGGTTCTGCATCATAAATAAAGAATCAAAAATAAACACCAACCTCTTTGTTCTTCAGTTTCTTCATCTTTTATCCTGCAGTACTCTGGATCATTCATGTTCTCACTGTCCTCAATTCTTCTTCAGCATTTATTGGTGAACTGCAGTGGGAGGAGCTTCACTGAAGGGGAATCAGTGTGTGGTAGGAGGAGCAGGTCTGACAAAATCAAAAATAATCACATTTGTTTTCACAATTTTACACACTGTATGCATTTATGTTCATCGATCAAAATGCACATTTGTACAAGACATGTAGAAAAACATGAATAAATACCAGAATTAAAATAATCAAATATCAATAATCAAAAATAATTTTGATGTAAATGTAAGAAAATGTAAGAATATAAATACAGTAGGATAAACTAAACTAAAACTAACAGATTAATAAACAATAAATAACATATTTAGATAATTTTTTATTAATTGTTTTTTTAGTTTGTAGTCGTTTTTACATAAAACATGGTTTATTACAGACTATAACAAAATAAATTGTAGATTTCACAAGTGGTGATTATGCAGTTTGTCTCAGTCTGTTGACAGTGAAATGAGCTTTAAGTGTCAGTTTACAGGTGATTGAAGACATCAGCATAATGAATGAGCTGAAAACCATTAAACTATAGACATTCAAAATAGAGGCTTTTTAGCAGCTGTTAATAGTGACACTCCTGAAACAAGCTTTACAGATCAACAGCAGAGATTAACTAAATGTTCAGCAGAGATAAACTATGCTGAACTAAAAAAAAACTGATCAAATCAAATAAAACATCAGTAATAAAAAATTAATTACAAAAATACAAATGACACCCATCTTTGCAGTAGTTTTTTTCTGCTTCTTTTATAAATAACTAGCCTACCCCAACAGCGGGATAAGATATGTATTTGAACATAAATTTAATTAGATTTTCCAATAACTACATTAGCAATAAGGAAATTAGATAATTCATTTCTTACAAACTCTGTATGAAATATTTAGAAGTAACATAAAATGTGAAATGGGTATTCAATTTAATTTTAATGATGCAAAGTAGGGTAACTAAAGCATATTTTATGATTGTGTAAATATAAAAAGCACTGTAAACTCCCAATCTTATTTCAGAAGAGTGAGTCAATGCGGTGCAGATTATAGACAACTTCAGTAAACATAAAACTCTTACAACTTTTCACAAAACAAATCCATGCGTGCTCAGTGTTGTTTGCTAGTTTCAGCCCGACTAGCCTACGCTTAGATTGTTAAATCTGGATTTCAAAGTGCTGTGACACAAGCACTATAGCAGAGTATAGCACTATATTATATACCAGAGCGATTGTTCTGCCATGGCAGCTTGAAAAAAAAATTGTATAAGGAGTCTTTTCATTCCTCTTCTAATAAATCACCAATGTCTCTTATCATCTGCATTTTTCTGAGCCTTTTTTAGTTTTTATACACAGCAGTGAAGGAAAGTATTACAAATAAAAGTGTTACTGTTTTTCTTTAGTGTGGATCATTCATGTTTTCTAACTGACTGAAACTCGTCACAGTGTGAACACTTGTAAGGTTTTTCTCCAGTGTGGATGTAACCCATTAAAAGGATTTAACACCAAAAAATAAATAAAGTAGGAAAAATAATCTACTGAATCCGAGCTCACCAAATAGAGATAAATCACAACCTATATTAAAGGTGCTCTAAGCGATCCTGGGTGATGTCACTTCTTGTTGACGTTCGAACTATTGTCAAACAAAATGGAGGCTAGCTAGACCCTCCCTCCTCCTCATCCGCACACTAGTCTCAGCCTCAGACGTCACGCCCACGGAACGTTGGCTAAACGTCTGATGCATATGGTACACTTAACTGGAAACACTTCAGCAATGTCGAAGTCGTCATCTGATTGGTTGAATTTTATCGGATTTCCGGGGGGTGCGAGTGTCGCGTTTATTTTCGGTCCGCAGGGAAACAAAGCGCAGACGTGTGATTGCGGAAGAAAAACTAACGTTGTGTTTACATGAGTGACAATGAGCATTTATCAAGATCAGCTAAACGTAGGATTCTCAAAAGTATGCGAGGTTCACGGCATAGACTCTTGAAGTTTTCTTCTCCTTCTTTGATTTTCTATGCTGACTGACTTGTTGCACGCTGGTCTGTTGTTGTGGGGACATTTCCACGCACCGAAACGTGACGCTGAACGAAACGAACTGTAATTGGTTGTTTGACATGTCGGTCAAACGGCCTTATGGGCGGGCCTTGGCCAAAGAAAGCTGCTATGAATTCCAGACCTTCAGCCATCAGTCTGAAGGTCTGGCTACGCGAGACTATCCGCACACTAACCCCCCAAACCCTTCTTGTCGGTCATTGGCTGGAACAGTTTGTTATGTTTCGGGGAGCGGGTCGCTGCAGTTTGTTTTTGTTGCTGTTTGTGGAGCCTGGGCTGTCTACAGAGATCGCGTTTCTTTACAGTGTGTTCAGGGGACAGACAGCCAGCGGATAGTGAGGAGATGTTTGCTGTATGTGACAAAACATGTTTTGGCCTAAAAAACGCGTGACATCGCTTAGAGCACCTTTAATATCTGGACTTCCGGGTTTGGGGTCTCACACCTTGCAAAAAAAAAAAAAAAAAAAAGATTGAATAATCTTAAATGTGTGTCTGCACTTGTTTAAATGGTTGTCTACAGTACTAACTGGACAAATAAAAAATAATATATATTAGAGGTGTAACGATACACAATATTGACGGTTCGGCACGGTTTTGACGTCTCGGTTCGGTTTAGAAAGCTAAAATTGCTTTTTTTTATTTTTAAACAGTGGTTAACCGTTTAATGAAAAAATGGTCTTTGTTTTTAAATTAATTAAATTACAATAAACGTTTCACAAGGATTAAAAAAAATCTGCTAATGCTGTAAACTATATAGGTTTAAAACAGTGGTTTAATGAAAAAATTGTCTTTGTCTTTAAATTAATTAAATTACAATTAAACGTTTCACAAGGATTAAAAAAAATCTGCTAATGCTGTAAACTATATAGGGAGCCGCACATTACTATAACATAAAAGGTTGTAGCCTAGACTTTTAACCTAAATTCAGATGCTATTTATTTTTTAGATATAATAATCAACACATTGTATGAAAACATGTAAACTGAACACAAGGCAGTTTTTGCATTAACATATTAAGTAGGGATGCACGATATTGGATTTTGGCCGATATTCAATATACCGATATTTTCAAACTCATTTTGGCCGATACCGATATACACATTTTCCCCCTTATATATATTATATATATATATATATATATATATATATATATATATATATATATATATATATATATATATATATATATATATATATATATATATTCACATATATATATTCACACACATTTTGATTTTACTGAAGAGAAATCAAATAAAGTCTCTCTCCTGTACTACCTTTACATTATTACACTCATATGTTGTAGATAAGGCAATACAAAAGACAAGCAACATTTGATTCTACCACAAATATCATTTTTACAAATGTAGACAGACCTTCACAACTGAAAAATTGTAAAATTATTTCACTTAGAATAAATGAGGAGAATAAATGATATGCCTTTGCCACATTTTATTTTTAAGTTCAGACTTCAAACTTCAGTCCTTAGGAGTAGGGATGTGACGGTGAGGATATTATTTTCCCACTGGTTAATCGACGTGTGACAGCACCGGTATTCCGGTAATACCAGTATCACCGGCGGGGCTTTTAAATCACTCATTTAAAGGCAAACGTAAAAAATGCGCGCGTTTGCACGGGCATGCATAATGGTGCGGTCGTGCGGAGCAGCTGTTTTGTTGTTGTGCCTTGATTTGGCGCTAATTTGAAAACGAAACTATTTTTTTACATCGCTTAAGCTGGTGCGGCAGTGTGCCAATTCATCCTTCGCAGGGAGTTTGATACGATCCGTGATACGATCTCACAAATCAAAATCCACCATTTTTGTCCGACAAAGCAGTCAGGAGAGTTAGTGGATTAACGTCGGTGGATTTGAACTTGGCTTTAACTGAGGCAATCTTTCACGACACATTAAAGAGCCACAAAACGGTAGGCCTATTTATTGTTTAATTTTCTTTGACTAACCAAATTTGAAAGTTGAGACTTTGTTTCATATTAAAGGGTCACTTCACCCATTTGCATTAAGAGGTCCATTGTTAGACAACCAGTCATACTATTGAATGGTCATGCAACATTCTTTCATTTTTCCCTGAGACGAGAGAAATCCACTATTTACCTTTTTCACTTCCTCCTACAATTACGCAAAAATCGTCATTTGACGTCATTGTAGGAGGAAGTGTAAGAGGGGGGGATTTCTGTAAAGACTACAAGCACAAATTCCCACCCTTTCAAACCCGCCCATAGGGGGTTGTACCTAATGCGCTAACAGAGCTATCACAGATCAGCGGGTGGGACTTCACTTGCAGATACTGAAATCAATATCAGCCATCTTGTTTATAAGCTAAGATAACAAGCGCTGTGGAGATAGGAAGTTACGACAATGACGGAAGAAACTAAACATGATATGGAAGTAGAGGATTTTGAAATTCTGCTGCTCGAATCCACTGTTCGTGGCTATTTTTACGAGCCGCAATATAGTGAAGAGCAGCTGAGGCTGAAGGAGGAACAGGAGGCGGCTGCCTGTCGCGGACGAGGAGCCCGGACTGGCTCGAGCTGGGCGGACTGCTGGTGCCTGTGCTCTCGCTGTGCGCTACGGACACAGATAGTCTGCTGCAGAGAATTTCAACGATCGCAATTTCTCCTGGACGAAATCTCTGAATCAGACGAGCACACGGACGTTTGTGTTGTGATATGAACCATCCTAGTGTCGCACCGCATTCTGACTGAACATCCAGGTATCATGCAATAATTCACCATATAGAAAGAAATACAAACGAGGAGTAATTCGCTAATGAGTTTGCCAATGTAACTTAACGGGGTTCGTTGTTGTGGGAAGAAGGAGGCGGGAACCGGCGAACATTTAAACATTTTAATAGTAAAATAAGCAGATACAAAACAAAAGTATAAGCCAGCTGGCCACACACAACAGAAACAAAACATAAAATCAGGCCTGTTTCCTTTTGTGCTTCCGCTCCTCCGTGAGAGATATGAGAAAGCTGCACAGGTATCATTCATTATCACTCGCGCCGTCCTCTCACGTCCCTCGCCCTCGTCCTGCTCGCCACAGCCAACTAACTAGACATTTTATGTGAAATGAATTTCAAACTCATTTGGCAGCTAGCCTTGTAGACGGAAGAGTCATTTCTCTGATGTTTGCGCTGTTCTGGATTAGTGGGAGTGGCTTGCGGAGCTGTGCAACGTGGTGCATTGTGGGAGTTGTTGTCTTACATTCAAATGCGCCCTAAAGTTATTTTCTGTCTTTTCTCGGTCAAGAGGGCACCAAATTCAAAAATTCTTTTACATTTCGACTACATATATAACCCACTTTCAATAAAGATTAATGTTGAAATGGGTGAAGTGACCCTTTAAATATTAGGCTACCTGTTCAGTCCTGTCTGTCAGCGCGTTGTCAGTGTACTTATAGGCTACGTGAGTTGCACGTATAAAATGAAGTTAAGGAACAAACACGATTCATCAGGAAACGCCATATAGGTTGCTGAATTTCACTGCGCTTCATGAAAAGTTTTTCTTTTGCGTGAAGAAGCCGTTCGCCGGAGATGTGTTAAAGATAGCTGAGTGCACTCATGATTATTAGGCTACCGGTAGGCTATAATAATCCTCCTGGCTCCGAGTCTGAGTGAGTAATTTACTCTCTTACCTTTTATTGATTAACATTAATGACACTTTAAGACCAGCCGCTGCTGACAGATACGCGATCTGACACGCGTCCCATTTTCTCACAAATCAATACGTTAATTTAAGACTTTATTTAAATAATTTAAGACTGCTCTTAGTAAGACACTCGACAAAACGGACATTTTGGCATAATTTGTGTGTGTTATGGTTTGTTCAAGCCCGAAAGAGGACTCGATACTGACGCGCGTCTTTTCTTCCACACAGCTGGAAGTTTAAGTTGCTGGCACTCATACTACGTTCACGGTCGTCACGTGCGCATAGTAAATCCGCCACATATCGGCAAGGCTCATCGGCAGAAATATTAATATCGGCCGATGCCGATTATAATAGCCAGTCTAATACTGTGCTAGAGTTGTTGTCCCGTAGCTACTTGTTATGACACGCCAGGCAGCTAATGTTGAACTTGTTGTTACGTGCAAAGTAACTCCATAGGCATCGTCTTCGTTGCAATATTACCATCTTTATTGTCCTCCACATAACTGCACAACACACAAGGTCCACAAGCACGAAGATTCCCAGAACTTCACACGACAACAGCATTCATCAAACTCCGCCGTAGCGGTCAAAAACTTGTTTGCCCTTCCGGGTCAACACCTCCCTACTACCTGTTGACCCCTCACATATATACATGAGCCTACAGCACCATCTAGTGGCCCAAAATAAAAGATACACACATTTGGCTCCTACACACCGGCCCCTAATTGACATGATAAACAAACATGACAATTTTTTTTTTTTTTTTTTTTTAAACAATAACCATAAAGGAGATCAAATGAGTTCCTCACATGTGGCTTATACACAGTAATTAGACTCCATATACCATGCAAAGCTTAGAAATTGGTCTCTCAATAATATTGGATTTAGTTTTCAACTTCACAGATCTCACAAGGCCGTGACTATCTGGAAAAACTTCCACAACTTTTCCAAGAGGCCAAGATCCTCGAGGGGCAGATGGATCCATAATGGCCACAACATCTCCAACAGCAAGATTTTTCATCTTCCCGTTCCATTTCTGTCTTTCTTGAAGCAAGGGTAAATATTCTCGAACCCATCTCTTCCAGAAAAGGTCAGCCAGGTATTGAATCTGTTTCCATCGCCTCCTTCCATACTGATCCTCTGGCTTGAAAATCCCAGGAGGAAATGATGGCTTTCCTCTAAGCAGGAGCAGATGGTTTGGTGTTAAAGGCTCCAAGTCATTTGGATCGTCCGAGAGTTTTGTAATAGGACGATCATTCAAAATGGCTTCAGCTTCACACAACACTGTATTTAACCCATCATCATCCAGGGTTTGTTGACGCAGTACTGAGTTCAGCACCCTTCTCACCAATCGGATCATTCTCTCCCAAACACCACCAAAATGGGAGGCAGTAGGTGTATTAAAAGTCCAATTAATTTCTACCTGTGCCAAGAATGAATTTATTGTGTCCTGGTCCAGTTTGACAAGAGCTTCTTTCAGTTCTCTCTCAGCTCCAACAAAGTTTGTTCCATTGTCGGACCACAGATGTTTCACTTGTCCTCTTCGGCTGATGAATCGTCTTAACGCATTTATGCAGGAATCAGTGTCAAGAGTAGCTGCTACCTCCAAATGAATGGCTCGACTCGCCAGGCAGGTAAATATAACACCATATCTTCTGCAATATGTTCTTCCTCTTTTAATCTCAATTGGTCCAAAGTAATCAACCCCTGTGTTGGTAAAGGGGGGAAGGTCTGGGAGAATCCTTGCAGCAGGTAAGTCAGCCATTTTTTGCATTAAGAGACGCCCATTGTATCGCCTGCAGATACTGCACTGTCCAATAATCCTTCTCACAGCAGAATTTCCCTTTGTAATCCAAAACTTTCTTCTTACAGCCGACAGAGTGTGAGCTCGTCCAGAATGTCCAAGAGTTTGATGAAAGCATTTGATGATTAATTCAGAGATGTGTTGCTCCTTGGCCAGGATTATTGGATGCTTAGATTCCTCTGGCATTGCACTTCTGTGAAGTCTGCCTCCAACTCTCAAAAGCCCATCCTCCAAAACAGGATCTAACACATAGATGGAACTCTGACGGCTCACTCTGGTGTTCTGCGAGAGAGCTTCAATCTCAAACTTGAACCTTTGTTGCTGGCAGTACAAAATGATGAAGAACTCTGCACTCTGTAACTCTGCCGTGGACAGACTGCTGCTCTTTGGGTCATTAGTGGTCCTCTGGCGCCCTCTTGTGTTCATTTTGTGCACCACTGTATTTTTTTCTCACTGGAATGTCCAACTGTTTTCTACACCTACACTTCTCTTTCAACACACTCCTCAACCTCAAGTACCAGGCCACTGCCCTTTTAAGTCTCCTCCAGTCCGAAAAGTGCGCAATAAGCTGGTCTGAGGGAGTAGGAGTGTCAATGCTGATTGCGTAAACTGCAGCCTCCTTCCTAACCTCCTTGTCTCCAACATCCAAAGCCACCTCCAACACAATTTCAGGCCACTTTTCCTCTTCTTTCCGCAAAAATGCTGGTCCTTCTAACCACGCACTGGTTTTCAGGAAGTCTGATACCTTCAGTCCTCTAGACACATAATCAGCTGGGTTTTCCTTTGTGCTGATGTGTTTCCATTGAGCGGGCTCAGACAATTCTCTGATGGTTGCAACTCTGTTAGCCACAAATGTGTGAAAGCGCTGTCCTCATTATTAATATACTTCAACACAGATGTGCTATCAGTCCAGAACACAGAATTTTCCAGTCGTATGTTCAGCTCTGCCTTGACCATAGCATCGATTTTTACAGCTAGAACGGCTGCAGACAGCTCAAGCCGTGGGATGGTTAGGGTCTTCAGTGGTGTTACTCTGGCCTTGCCAAGGAGAAAGGCAACATGGATGATGTTTTCATGATTTGTCATACGAATGTACGTAGCAGTGCCATAGCCTGCTTCACTGGCGTCTGAAAAATTGTGTAATTGTGCATGCTTTATAGCTCCAAATCCGACAGGTTTTATGCACCGGTCCACACTAAATGCAGCCAGCAGAGTCAGCCCCTCCAGCCACCTTTTCCATTGGTGTAAAACGTCCTGAGGTAATGCATCATCCCAGCTGTAGCCTCTTTTACACAGTTCCTGCTGCATCATTTTTGCCTGCAATGTCACTGGCGCCAGGAACCCCAACGGGTCAAAAACAGAACTGTTGACGGACAACATTCCACGCCTGGTCAGGGCCTGATGTTTCAGATCCATCTTAAACTTGAAAGCATCACTTTCCACACACCACTGGAGACCCAGAGCTCTTTCCATTGGAAGCTTATCAATATCCAGATCTAACGTCTTTAAATCCTTAGCTCTTTGCTCTTCTGAGATGGCTTGCAGAACAACGCGACTATTGCTTATCCATTTTTCCAACGTGAAGCCTCCCCTTTCACACAGCGCAACGAGATCATTTATCATCTTGATTGCTTCCTTGTCTGTAGCTGAACTCTTTAGGCAATCATCAACATAAAAGTTGTGTCTAACAGTTTCTGTGACCTCTGCTGGAAATTCATTCTGATTGTCTTTGGCAGTTCTCTTTAAGGCATAGGCCGCACAGCTTGGAGATGAAACGGCTCCAAACTGTAGGCTCATGTATATATGTGAGGGGTCAACAGGTAGTAGGGAGGTGTTGACCCGGAAGGGCAAACAAGTTTTTGACAGTATAATAGCCAGTCTAATACTGTGCTAGAGTTGTTGTCCCGTAGCTACTTGTTATGACACGCCAGGCAGCTAATATTGAACTTGTTGTTACGTGCAAAGTAACTCCATAGGCATCGTCTTCGTTGCAATATTACCATCTTTATTGTCCTCCACATAACTGCACAACACACAAGGTCCACAAGCACGAAGATTCCCAGAACTTCACACGACAACAGCATTCATCAAACTCCGCCGTAGCGGTCAAAAACTTGTTTGCCCTTCCGGGTCAACACCTCCCTACTACCTGTTGACCCCTCACATATATACATGAGCCTACAGCACCATCTAGTGGCCCAAAATAAAAGATACACACATTTGGCTCCTACACCGATGATGATAATTTTAAGCTTATATCAGCCGATACCGATGTCGTGCCGATATCATCGTGCATCCCTAAACATAAGATATGTGTTTTAGAATGGATAGGCCTAGTGTTGTATACTTTGTTTTCAATTCGACTGTAATTGAACAGTAAAGTGAAAATCTGTTTTAGCTGTTTTTGCTTTTATTTATAGAGGATCGTACAGAGAGCGGACACGGACCTTGAGCTGGGACTCTGGTAGAGCAGTACATAAAGGCTGTTGCATTTTTTTGAGATACTAAGCTTTTTCTACTGTTACTGTACATTTTAAATATTAAATGGATTTCATCTTAGTTTTACTGTAATTGAACAAAAACTGTCTTTTAAATATTCCATTCAGATTTGTACTTTACTTTAACATTACGTTGAAAACACTGCAAGTTAAAGTTTGAGATGTAGAAAGTATTTTTAGACTTTTTTTTTGTTTTGTTTTCCAAAATAAAACTTGTTTTACAATCTTGAGCATGTGCTAACTCTTTATTAAATGTGTTTGTAATTAAGCCATTGCTGCCAGTCATTTGACATTAAAACATTTTTAGTGTAGGCTACAGTATGTACAGTTAATCACTAAATCAGTTAGCATTGTCATGACTCGTGTTCCAAATTCAAACTACGTTGTAATTGAATGCACAATTGTATTCTCCCTTGTTGAAAGGTAAGACAGTGAAACAACGTCACGATTGAGAGTGAGGAGTCACGTGCCGATTTGGGTTGAATTGGGCGGGGTCTGAGTCAGTCGGCCATGATGGTAGGAGACGCTATCGGTTGCCAGGGGCAACGCCTTCAGAACTTCACAGAGGCGCGACTAAACATTCCAGAAATAGCTTAGTATTTGTTTACATTTTAGCGATACGCCGCAGTTTCTTTGGAAGATAATATGGAGAAGGAAGAGAAATGAAAGAGGATTTTCGGGAGAGACTAAATAACAATGCTAGCCAGCTTTATTTAGAGAAACTACTTGTCAATAAACTGACAGCAGCAACAGCGAGCAAAGCATGATTTGATCAAAAGCAACACATTTCAGCACAGTTCGCCTTTTATTTAACACAAACGAACGAAATTAATACTCTGTTATTCAACTAGAATTGTTTAATTTGTTATAGATATATCTGTACCACGAAATGTTTTAAAAAGACACTTTTTTAATGACGTACGACTCGCATTGACAGAATGTCCGATCGGTTCGCTTAACGTTGCACGGCAGGTGCAAATGCACGTAACTTATCTGATTCATATCAGATTTATTTCCACATATGAATGAGGCCTGAAACATGACTGAACTCTCGCAGTTTAACGTTACAGTTTTTTTTTTTGTCTTGCACCCAGCCGCAGCAGAATTGTTCATAAGCTTCTAATGACTTAAAGCTTCTGAACTCTTGCATCGTGTATGCAGTAACGTTAAGGCACTGATACCATAAACCAGGTAATTGACTATGTCAGGGTATGTGAAAGCTGGTAAGTTAGTGCTTTGGGTCTTTCGTCCATTCGGTAGCGGGTCGTAGACCTACATCATGTTGTTGATGTCAAGTAGTTTCTCTAAATAACGCTGCTTGGTGTTGTTATTTAGTCTCTCCCGATAGAGCCCCTGCTTCCCCCTTCTTCATTTATTCCTAAGAAACTGTGCCTTATCGCAAAAATGCAAACAAATATCAAGCTGCTCTCTCTCTGTGTCGCTTTTTCTCTCGGTCTCACTGTCGAAGTAACCATGACAACGGATAGCGTATCCTCCCAAGATGGCGACGCCTTCCCACAATGCAACGCGGAGTGAGACGCGTGACGTCACATTCTCATTCTCAATAGCAACGTTGATTCCATTTGCAAAACCGAAGTATAATTCAACGTTGGTTCAACTTCGACATACAACCTTTATTCACCCATATTGAAAGAAGAGACCGTGAAACAAGCAACGTCGCGACATCAACGGTGAAACAACATCATCATGTCAACGGTGAAACAACGTCGCAAAATCAACGTTGATTCGATTTGCAAAATCGAAACATAATTCAATGTTGATTCAACCTTGGTCCCTGACATTGATTCACCGGTGAATCAACGTTAAAATGCCAGCTGGGTTATTATTCCTCAACTGCTGTTCTGTTGTTATCTCGGGACGCTAGTGCTAACGTTAGTGAATGAACGATGAACGAATCTTTGTTTTCTTCCTCGTGAAGGCAGAGTACCAGACAGTGGAATCCAGCGCGGTTCTCCCCTGCGCGAATCCAACACGATCACGGAGCGTTGAAACAATCCAAACTAATGCAATAAAACAGTTCAGACGTCAATTTGGGAAAATATTGACATCGATGGTTTAGATTAAGGATAGCCACACATGTGACTCACCGCAGAACCGATCACCGGTGATCAGCGCGAGATGCATGCCGGAAGAAATGTGTCCGTCCGAGTGTGGTCCGCCTTACTATGATGTCATGCTGACGTATGTCAAAAAACTATCGCGATCGCAACGCAGATGTGTCTGGTCTGGTCAAAATCTGGTCTTTACAGCAGAAATTATTTCTCACAAAGTGAAAGAAATCACATTTAAGCTCATACACAGGTCTATCCTGTTAAGAAGTTTATACAAAGATTCAAGTCTGACATTGAGCTAACATATATAGGCCGGACTATATATATGCAACCCCGTCATCTCGCAAGAGAGGAGGAGAACTCAAAAGGGCCACAACCACAGTGTGTTTCGTTGCAAAGATAACAAAGTTTATTGTACAATATTCACAAGGATCACATGGGGGTAATCAGAACTGGCAAAGAGAAAAACAAACAAAATTGTAACCGTTCCAGACAACAGGGTTCCCAATCCTATCCAATGGAAATTGCTCTGAAACTGTGTGCACACTCACAAGTTCACCAAACACAAATTCACTCCAACTTCCACAATTGTAAATTAAATCAAACCACTACACTCTATTCCCCAAACCTTAACGGAGTAAACCATATACAAGAAAATGGGAACCCCACCGTCAGTTGTAGGTCCAAAACAAACAAAACAACAAAACAAAACAAAAACAATTTCATAAATTAAATTAATCACTTTGCCACTTCCATACACCAGACTCAATTCAACATTAAAATGATCTCTTCAGACACCCATTAAGCCACCATGCTTTCACTAAAGTAAACGGCAATCATGCATCATCTGTAAATA